CACGTGGCTGACCTGAACCTGTCCAGCCACTATCAGCGGAGATAGCATCTGTTGTTGCCGTCACAGAAGAGGTCTCATTAGCCTCCTTACTAGAATTTAAAAGTAGCCCACTTGCTTGTTGCCGTTTCATTGCAGCCTTAGAGGCAGCAACAGCAATCCGACTGGTCTGAGCCTCGAGACACAAAGCCATTTCTGCCTGAGTTTGGTGCTGCTGTATGGTACTTGAAGTACGTTGACTTGATTCATCCCGCCCAGTGGCGATAGGACCCCTCTCAGTGCCAGAGTTTGGCCTGGTTTCATTAGAACTGGTGAGAGTACTGTGTACTCCAATGTCAGTTCTATGTGCCCCGGTTTGGTGCTGAGCCCCTACAGCAGATGGAAGTGAAGATGGCTCTGCAGAGTCGACGGAAATAGTCTGCGAGACAAACAGGTCAATAGAATAAAAAGTAAGCTAGGAAATCAATCAGGATTGAAATTAAATTTAAATTGTATTGTGAATTTGGATGGGAGTGGGTATAAAATAGTGTAGATAAAATAAAAGGCGAGTTGGAGGAAGAATTACGACAAGTGTTTGGATTAGTGCACGAAGAGTGAACTAATAACAGTGCAGAGCCCCCGTGTTGTTCTAAATCAACCAGGATTATTTTTCCGGCATATCAGCAAGCCGGATAGATGAAAAATTTGATATAATGCATAAAGTATGAGAGAATATATTGGACCTCAATGGGCCTCTTAGCAAATCAAAAAAAGACGAATAAAAAACGAAAATAGAGAAAAAATGTATCGATCAAACTATCGAGATGTAATAGTAAAATAGCAGAGCTAATCTATATTAAATACATTTTGCATGTGATTATATTGGTCACTTCATTAGCTAAAAGAGAATCCTAATCAAAATTTAAATTTAAATGACTAAAGAAAAAATGAAGATTTCAGCCTAGTCAAAGAGCAACTGTTGACTGTGGAGGAAGGACGTATAAATAGGCTTTCAAAAGAGTAGGTGATTGTGATATCTATGGAACACATGGGATAGCTAGAAATTCAGTTCTTACACAAGGGCTGCTTTAATTAAGAATAATACTTTGAATACTCAATCAATGATCTAATAAGAATTTACCATTGGAAAAGTTTTATAGAATATCAAGACTACTCAAAATCTTGCTCTGTGTAAAAACAATAATCTCTTCAATTATTCCCATATTACCAGGTGAGGCTTATTGAGGTTAATGGGCTTTATCTAACATTATCTAGTGCAAAAATCTATGCTCGTCCATTTAGGACTCCGTTTGACCATAAGATGCCATTTAAAGCAAACAGTCCTCCAACGAAAATAAAAGTTGCTGGCTTTGGATTGAGAATTATAGTCGCGAATAAGGCAATGTGGCCCGATTAGTGTATGGTTAAATTATTAAAAAGCTTTAGAATAATTAGCTTTGAAGAGTTATAGTTGTAGTTTGGTGCTAAGAAAGGGCAAGAATCACTGATGATACCGACTACGATGTCGATGAGACGTCATGGAATGTACCAAGTCCACGATCCGACGCTGGGAAATATCATAATTACGCTAGCAGGGGATTTCGGACGAGGTGCGTTCAACTAGCTCGACCTGACAACACGACCAAGTAATGAAAAGGCTAAGCCACTTCTATACATCGTATGATTATTAATTAAAAGTGTAAGGAACGAAAATGGAAAAGAATGAGGATAATAATTATCTCTAAATTAGAAATGAAATACCACTAGTGATGTTGAAAATCCTCCTAAGCTATTAGGATTCTAAAATTGATAATGATACTGAAATAATCAATGCATATGTGAAATGATTGCCTACCTGGGCAAAAGAGACGAAGCGCAGGACGCTAAATGATGATCGAGGCGGTAAAATAACAAGGCCTCTTTTCCTTTAACCCTCAAACAGTGGCCAAAAGATTCATAAGTTTTACCGACCATCTTTCAGAAGACTAAAAGCAATATTGAATTACGGGTCGTTCCTTCATTTGATAGCCATGTAGAAATAACACCCAGGACTAAGAGTGAAAAGCATCATAAGTAAACTAAATGATAAGGACTAAATAGTGTTGAGGGCATATGAGGTAATTAGTAGGGACTCTATAGAAACACTTAAGTCTAGACTCAGAAGTTGCCTGTAGCATTGTGTAATAAACGAGGCACTAGAGAAATGGAAGATGAACACGCTTGTTCAACGAGACGCTAGGCCTCCAAATGTATATGGTCTGCCCAAAATACACAAAGATGGAGTGCCACTTAGAATTATTGTGAATAATAAGTGGAGCATGATGCCTAAACCATCACGATTTATTTGTAATCAGTCAAAACAAATCTCTGAGACGTGGATGGTTTCAGTTAAGAATTCCTATGAATTCGTTAACTTAGTCGACGAGCGAGATATAGAAAGTGGGGATATGCCGATAAGTTTTGATGTTGAGTCTATGTATACTAACATTCCTGTAGACGATATCATACAGGCTCTGCAATTCACACTAGATCAACACGCGGAGATTTAACTGAGCATGAGGTTAAGTAAAGGGTCAATAATGATACTGATCAACCTAGCGATGCACTGTACATGTTTTACCTTTGATGGCAAACTGTACGAACAAACACAAGGCTTAGATATGGGAATGCGTTTATCACTAATTTTGGCAAATAATTATATGGCTAAATCTGAGGAAGGCTTAATTCAGGAGGAACTTTTAGTTCCTAAATTATTAGTTCACTATGTAGATGACTAGTATGCTATTTGGAAACATGGCAAAGAAAGCCGGGAGAACTTACCTGGTTTGATGAACAGGATCGATGGAATACGAGAAGATTCTGCAGAACCAGATATAAATGTTTTATGGAAGGATGCAACTGTTCAGTTTCAATTGCATCCGTTTCAAGCTTCATCTGCAGCGACTTAACTCATAAGCAAACACATAGACAAAGCATAGGACATCTAACCAAAACATGAGATGCCTAAGTGGACCAAATTGGAAAATAAGGAGGTAGGCTTGAAGTAAGCAACCTTTAGTGCCTTCGTATTTTTGCTAAATTGTCTGACAATGCCTATCACATAATGGACGAAAGCTCAGCACAGATTCATTGGGGTCGCATGGCGGTGCGCCG